TGCGGCGCGCCCCCGAACATGGTCGGGACGGCGGCCGCGGCTTCACGAAACTTCGCCTTCGCCTCTACGCGCCCCACCAGCGCGCGCTTCAGCGGTCTCCGCGACGACGAGAGGCTCGACAAGCCGCGGCTAGCCGGCGCGATCGACCGCGATTGCCACAGCGACGATGGGCGCCTTCCATCGAGCGCTTCTCGTGCTCGGTTTGGCCTCGGCGACGGAGGTCGCCAAGGTGACGAAGGGCAACTACGACGCCTTCCTCCAGCTCGCGGCGGACGAGGAGCAGTGGGTGCTGCTCGACTTCTTCGCCCCCTGGTGCGGCCACTGCAAGCGCCTCAATCCCGTGCTCGACGACTTCGTCGCGGACACGCCGGGCGTGCGCGTGGCGAAGATCGACGCGACGGCCGAGAAGGCGCTGGCGGAGGCCCACGACGTCGACGGCTACCCGACGCTCCGCTTCCGGCGGGCGGGCTCGAGCGACGCGTTTAGAGATTACAAGGGCGCGAGGGACGCGGTGGGCCTCGCCCAGCTCGACGCGCGGCTCCGGGGCCCCGCCGTGACGACCTTCGCGGGCGCGCTCGACGACGCGTTGACGAGCGTGAAGTTCCCGCCGCCGGTCTTCGTCGCCGCGGGCCGATTGCCGCCGGACGTCGAGAAGGCGTTCGCCGCGGTCGCCGCGTCGTCGTACCACATGGCGACCTTCGCGCGCCTCGAGGCGCCGGACGCCGCGCTGCCCGCCGACGCCGTCAGCGCCGTCGAGGCCGGCGAGTGGGCCCACGCGTGGGCGCCGGCCGACGACTACGAGGCGTCGCTGAAAGCCTTTTGCGCGAAGCACAACGCGCCCCTTTTCAGCGAGCTCGGGCCGTCGAACTTCCGGCGCCTGGGCAAGGCGCGCCTCGTCGTCGCCGCCATCGTCGACCCGGCCCGCGAACCCGCGGCGACGGGCTGCGCGAACGTCGCGCGCGGCGCCGCGCGGACGCGGGCGCCGGACGTCCGCGAGGCCTTCGTCTTCGGCCGGCTCGACGGCGCCAAGTGGGACGAGTACGTCGCCACCTTCGGCGTGAGCGGCGCGGACCTGCCGAAGATCCTCGTCATCGACCTCGAGGGCGACAAGTACTACGACGACTTCTCGCCGCCGACGCCGCCGGCCGACGCGCCGCCGGACGCGCGCGACGCCGCGGCGGCGGCGGCGCTCGTGGCCTACCTGCGCGAGGTCCTCGCCGGCGAGCGCGCGGCCCACCACATGGGCTGGCGCGGCTTCCCGGACCGCGCGGCGCGCTTCTGGCGGAACCACTCGACGTTCGTCACCGCGGCCCTCGGCGTCCTCGCCGGCGGGCTCTGGCTCATCAACTACATCATGGCCGACGACGAGCCCCCCGCGGCGAAGAAGCGGGACTAAGGGGAGTGCCGAGCGCCGCGTAGAAGCGCCGCGAGGCTTCAGCGGGGCGAGGAGGTCCAGGAATGTTGATGTCAACATGAAGACTCGAGCCTGCTCGAGCAGCTGCACATGTACATGGCCGATGTCGAGACACAGAGACGGGATTGGAGTGAGGTCCTGGCATCTGGGAGCTTAGTCGAAGTCTGGAGCTGCTTGGCAAACGATGGATGAAACGGAGTCGCTCGCGGCGGAATTTGGGATGGACGAGGAAGAAATGATGGCCAAAATAAGGGAAAAGATCAATCGAAAGGACACCTTCGACGAATCGAAACCTGGCTCGTCCTTGGCCAACGTATGTAAGAGCATGTTTCCAGCGGAGAGCTTTGTATTCCGCGACGACGACGACGTGAAGCGATGCGCGGCGTGCGGTCGCGAGGCCGCGCGGCTCGTCTGCACGCGCTGCCGCGCGGTTCGCTACTGCGACGGGGACTGCCAACGGCGGGCGTGGAAGGCGCACAAGGCGAGTTGCCCGACGCGCGACCAGCGGGTCGAGTCGATCCTGGACTCGGGCTCGCTCGCCGTCGATCGGTCCGTCGTCGAATTGGCGCTCGACCTCTGCGGCGAGCGGCCGCACTGCGCTCGGTTCCTCGCCGCCGTCCTCAGCAAGCCGGACTTCCTCACGACCTACGACGACGAGGAGTTCTGCGCCGCGCTCCGCCTGCTCTGGGGCGCGAAGCTGTCGCCGGCGGACTTCCGGCGGCTGTGCGCGGTCGACCCCGCCGTCGCCCAGCGGCTCGACGCGATGCGGGCCCAGGACGACGCGGACGACGCGGCGCTGCTGCGGCGCATAGCGCCCGTCCAGGCGTCCTGCAAGCGCATCTACGAGCTCCTGACCGTGCGCAAGCGAGGCGACCCGGAGCCGATGGGCTGCGTCCAGGTGCTCAAGCACACCGCGCCGGATCGAGTCCACAAGACGAACCGGGAGCTG